GAAGCAAAAGCAGACCGGCCCGGCAGAGCCGCAGGGGGCGCTAGTGAGGGAGGCAGGGGAGACTGCACCGCCACAGGTGATCTCCAGCTTCGTGATGCTTTTGCTCAGGGCCTCTGGAGGGAAAAAATGGTCTCTCTTGGACACATACACCCTCCTACATTCTTAGACAAAACGGATAGTGTATATTTTTGCTGGCCTTTTGTAGGTGTTCTTGTTAAACCACCAGCTAGAGTGTCCAAAATTAAGTGTTAATAGCAGCCTGCCAGACTTCTTTGGAATGAGTAATATATATATATATATATGTTGGTTTCATTTATATACATATGTATATGAAATAGTAATATATACATATATATATGAAATATTCTTTCTTCTATTTATGCCTGTTTTCTGAGCCCAGACTGTACTCTTACAACCTAGACCTTTTTCCAAGATTTTGTTGCCTTTTTTTTTTTTTGCCATTCCAGACTAAAGTATAGAAAGGGAAGAATTGCCATATGTCATTGTTCAGACAGAACCAGAAATAATGTTGACTTCAGAGCTGAAGTTGGCCCCTATCAGAAGGGTTGCCTTTGTTTTCTCATTATTTAGGGGGCGGGGAAGGCATCACATGCTTTGAAATGCATTTTAATGAATGTTTATCAGGTCGTGAGGATCACATTGGTGGCTTTGTCTGCTCAATTATGAAATGGGACTCTGCTGGTCCTGGTGGATGGAGATTGTCATTCCTTTCTAAAAGACACCAGGGCACCATCCTTCACTTGCCCTCCCCACTCCACACCGCAGGCCTCCTGGGGTCTAGTGCTAGTGTTAGCCCCTAGCTAGCTGTGGACGATGAGCAGATCATAACCCATTCTGTTTCATGTAAACAGGGAAGGTTGAGATGTGGTCTCTGGCAGTCCTGCAGGTGGCTACTGATTCCCTTATTGTTAAAAAATAAAATAAAATAAAGCCCTCCCAGTGAAAGGGTGGGGTCACGGGTAGTACAAGGCCCACCTGGAGGAAGTAGGGGCTGCCTGGGAACTGCGTCCACAGCTTGCTGTACGGAGTCCACAAAGACTGGGAAATGGCCATAGGTAAAGCTGTTTAGAAGGGTCTGGAAGTTTGGTGGGAACCTGCTGCCCCCAACATGATGCTGAGAAGGGAAGTCATTCTCGGGTAGCAAGCTCTCTGTGGACACTTGGTCAGAAGGGTGGCCACCCATTTCAGTCAAGCACCCTAGCCCACACAGGCTGACCTCAGTGGCAGCAGCGCCCAGGTGACCCAACCATGATGTCAGTGTGGCACCAGCAGCAGGGAAAGCCAGGCCGATTTCTCGCAATAGATGAGTAAGCAGTCATGGGATCCTGATGGAGGAGACACTGAACTTGCAATAGATCGCCACGCCTCCTGGAGGCCTGGTGAGAGAAGATGCTAGTGCAGCCTGGCTGAGCATGTCTGTCCACACAGCCAACTTCCTTCAGCTTATTTAGGCTTGGCTGGGGATCTGGCCATCCAGCCAGGGTGCTTTAGGCCAACTGTTGAAAGCTCTCCCCATAAAATCCGAAAATGCAAAGCTGCAGCCACTGGCAAAGTGGAACTGAGTGGGGAATAATGGCTTGGCAGCGCTCAGTGAGTGCCTAAAAAGTTGGGGGCACATATTCTCATTTCAGAGACTGGAGGCCCCTTTCCTTGCCAGTGGTTCCCACTGTTAACTTTCTCATCTGGTGGTTGTGGCCTACCTTCCCTACGTCTTGCTCCTTTAGTCCCAAAAGGATAACAGCCAACCCACAGTTAAATGAAAGACCTTGAAACCTACAGTGTGAGCCAGGAAGTCCAGGCCCTTGCAACTCACAGCCCGTGCCCTCCCTACTTTCCTTCCCATCCCCCCAACCCCTTCCTCCCCCAGCCTGGTCCTATGGTCACTTCCCTAGCATTCAACTTCCATTGATTCCAAGACATTAAGAACATCTTGTTGGGCATAGCTATTGCCAGCTCGGACTCTCAGCAGGGGATCCTATGTAAAGCCCACACTGAGTCATTCCTTACTGATCCATTTTAGGCATTTCTATTTTTGATATATTGGATTTCTTTTTAAGTTTTCGGGCAAAAATAAAAGAGACCACATTTTAGTCTGAAACATGGTAGCTTGGCTGTGGCCCTTAACTGATTGAATGAACGGCCAGGAAGACACGAAACAGAGCTCACTTGGTGCTGGGTCATTTGCGTTCATTGGTCCATGCATTCATTCAGCTGCTGTTTACTGAGCACCTGCCGTGGGCCACGTCCACAGTAAGCACTCCTGGGCGGGAGGGGGGCCACTGAGTGGAGGGCTTCTCGTTGTGCCTCCTGCAGCCCACCCCAGCCCCTTCCCACCCACCCCTGCTAGTCAGGCCTCAGTAATCTGGTGGCAGAGCTGCCCCTGAAAGCGTCATTGTTGGGGTTGCAGACTTCGTGAGAAGAAAGGCAGAGAAGTAGGCAAATACCCTCGCTCAGAGAGGGGGAGCCCACCCTGCAGAGATGTGGTGGTCAGCGTCCTGCTGTGGGGGAATGAAGGCTGTAGGTCCAGAGGCAGCTGAGCAGTGGAGGCAGGCCCTGCATCTGTGGGCACCCCCGGGGCCCTCTGGCCATGCTGCCCATCCCTGGGTCTCAGGGCCCCCATCTTCAAAGGACAGGGTTGGATTCCCAGAGCACTTCCATATCTGCCCTTTGTAATGCGCCAGCAATTAATGAGGGCCCACTAGATGTCAGAGATTGTGTCCCATTTTCCATAATAGTCTGAGCAGCATCATGAGATGAGAACTAAAAGGACACTGATTATATAAACAAACTCAGGACTCAGAGATTCTGTGTTGAGGCCAATGCATAGTCATGTCTGCCTCGAGACCAGGGCTCTAGGCCATCCTGCCCCACCCATGCTCTAGGCCAGTGGTTATCAACTTGGCAATCCACTGAGAATCAGTCAGGGAGCTGTGACGGAGCTTGGGGGCCTGGGCCCCAGCCCAGAGGAGACAGTGGTGGTAGAGCCAGGAAACTGGGGGTTTCGAGGTGAATCTGATGGGCAGCAAAGCCCTGGATGTGCAGCCTCAGGGGACCTCTTTTGATGTCCACTCTGCCGTGAGAGTAATAACCACTGTCACGCTAGCAGGTGGCCCCCCACACAAACACGCCTTGGCCCTCCAGCAAGCCAAATGTGAGGGCATGTCGCAGGACCATGACTGGATGTCCCGATGAGCCTGCCAAGTTGGAAAGAGGTTTCTTCATGGGAAAGGGCTTCAGGGGAAATGGAGGTGCGAGAGCATTGGTGTTTATGTGGTTCCCACAGAATCCTTTGCTCCGCCCCCTTCACTTTCACATACAGGTCATGGTCACTTACAGGTCAGCGGTGGATGACCATATGAACCTTGAATGAGTAGGAAATACTGCATTACTAAGTGCTTTTCTGTGTTCCCAGAGGCTAGACTTTTATAAATGGCAGGCAGCTCCCCCAAGTGCACATCACAGACTAGGGCCATTCCCTGTTGCTTCCTTTTGCCCCAACCTAATGATGCATCTGCACACAGGCATTTCTTATTTAGATAGCTGTATATTTGGGGGGGATTACAGTGAAAGTGTTAGTCGCTCAGTCGTGTCCAACTCTTTGTGACTCCATGGACTGCAGCCCGCCAGGCTTCTCTGTCCATGGGATTCCCCAGGAGAATATTGGAGTGGGTAGCCATTTCCTTCTCCAGGGGATCTTCCTGACCCAGGGATCGAACCCACATCTCCCGCATTGCAGGTAGATTCTTTACCATCTGAGCCACCTGGGAAGCTTTATACATTTGAGGAGGGGATTACAAGTCATTCCCATTAAAAACGATCGATATTTTTAAAAATACAGAGACTAGACTAAATGGAGTTGCCAGTCACCCTCGAGAGATGAGCACTCCACAGAGTTGCATGCACGTTCTTCCAGTGTGTGTCCTTGGAAGTGTTTGTGTATGCATGTGTACAGATGCATGGAGCCTTTCTACAGTGACTGTTTTGCACGTTGTTATTTTCCAAAGAGTGTCTCTCAGACAGCCACCCAAAAGAACATGCCAGGTCTACTTCGTTCCTCCAAAGCCTGTGTTGTAGCCAGTTTTCTCACTGGAACCTGATGCATGTAACCCAAGACAGGGAAGCAACCTAAAAAAGTTCAGTATGTATGTACAATGTGTACCTCACCATTTGATTTTGAAAGATCAGGCTGTCCTTACACAGGTGTGAATTGCAACTTTCTTAGCAATTTCTTTGACCATTTGATTTTGAAAGATCAGGCTGTCCTTACACAGGTGTGAATTGCAACTTTCTTAGCAATTTCTTTGACCACCAACGTCTGCCTGAAAATCCTGTGCATGACTTTCTGTACTGTTTGGTGCAGACAGCATAATGAAAGTTCAGTATGTATGTACAATGTGTACCTCACCATTTGATTTTGAAAGATCAGGCTGTCCTTACACAGGTGTGAATTGCAACTTTCTTAGCAATTTCTTTGACCATTTGATTTTGAAAGATCAGGCTGTCCTTACACAGGTGTGAATTGCAACTTTCTTAGCAATTTCTTTGACCACCAACGTCTGCCTGAAAATCCTGTGCATGACTTTCTGTACTGTTTGGTGCAGACAGCATAATGCTTCATTTGAAATCTAACAAGACAGGCTAAATGAAACAGCAACAAAAAAGCATCATGGTTCTAAAAATAGACTATATTATATAGTTTGTACAACTCTTTCTAATACTGTTACGGAGAGCATAATGCTTCATCTGAAATCCAGCAAGACAGGCTAAATGAAATAGCAACAAAAAAGCATCATGGTTCTAAAAATAGACTATATTGTATAGTTTTCCCAACTGTAAGCCTTGAAACTGACACATCTGTTTCATTTTGTAAGTTTTCTGTCCAATAGCATTCATGTGCCAAGCCTTTATAAACGCGCGCTCTCTCTCTCTCTCTCTTTCTCTTCTCTTCTCTTCCCTCGGTCTGCTCTTTTCTCTTCCAGGCACAGAGAACCACTAAGCGGAGACAGGAAGGAGAAGATTTCCAGCTTTCAGGCATGGGTGACGAGGGTTACCCTAATAAAATCAAGAGACCATGCCTTGAGGATGTCACCCTTTCGATGGGCCCGGGTGCCCATCCCAGCACAGCCTGTGCACAGCTGCAAGTTCCTGCGTTACCCGTGAACCCTAGCTCTGCAGCGATGGCAGCCCCTGGCCATCCGTTACTACTGGACAATAGCACCAGGAATGGCAGTGTCATGGGCCCACCATTTGCAGAGCCACCAACAGCAGAAATGGGAGTGAAAGGCTCCTCTATTCCTTACTATGACAAAACCAACAACACACCGGCTGTGGATCAGGAACTTCAAGATCTGCTGGAGGAGCTCACAGAAATTCAAGAATCTTCTCAGAGTGAGCTCGATCTTGAGAAAATCCTGGGGAGCAAGCCGGAAGAACCACTGGTCTTACACCACCACCCACCGGCAACCTTAGGTGCAACTGCCAAGCCCACAGTTCAGATGCCACACTTGGAGAGCCTCAGTTCCAGCAAGGACTTTGCTTCAAGTTGCAGCCAGGTCACTGGGGTGTCGCTTCAGATCCCACCCTCCTCTGCGGGGCTCAGCTATGCAGTTACACCTCCCAGTAAGCAGATGGCCTCCCCAAGTTCCTCGACCGTGAAGGCCAAGAATCAGGCCCAGGCAACACTCTCAGCCGCCCTGCCGCCACTCCCAGTGTCTCAGTGGCATCATGCCCACCAGCTGAAAGCGCTGGCAGCCAGCAAGCAGGGCTCCAGTAAGAAGCAGCTGGGCCCCACCACCAGTTGGTCTGCCCTGCCTCCTCCTGGCCTCTCCCCGCCTTACCAGCCGGGGCCCGTGGTCTCACCACAGCCGCTGCCACCCTTCAGCCCTCAGGGGCTCATGGTGTCCTGTATGTCATCGAGCAGCCTGCCGGGGAGCACCCTCCAGGGCTCTCCCAACGCTTTACTATCCAGTCTGGCGCCCAGCAGCAGCACCGTCCTCGGGCCGGCCAGGCCCTACGCGCCAGAGAAGTTCCCTAGCTCCACGCTCCAGCAGCCACCACCATTGAGCGCGCAGACCTCCAGCCTTGCCAACCTGGTGTCCTCTTCCGTCAAACACCCGCAGGGGCATGAGATGTCTGCTCTGCCCACCAGCAGCACGGGGCCCTTAACTCCCTATCGTCCAGAGACACTGTCCAGCCCAGGCCTGCCCCAGCAGTCCTTCACTGCACAGTGCCCCCTGGTCCAGGGCGTCACCACCTCCACTCATCCGCTCTGCCAGCCACAGCCACCAGCCAGTGCCGTCTACAATCCCCAAACCCTGAGCATGGCCATGCAGCAGGGCCTGACCAGCCCCAGCCCGGGAGCCTCAGAGCCCTTTCCTTTTGGCCACACCAAGCCCTTGTCACATCTCGTCTCTGAGCCAGGCCCCCAGAGGATGCCGTCAGTGCCCACCACATCTCGGCAGCCTGCCTTGCTCCACTACCTGCAGCAGCCCACACCACCGCCGGCCTCTTCTGCCACGGCCTCGTCCACGGCCACAGCCACCTTGCAGATGCAGCAGCAGCCGGATCTTTCTTCGTTCCTCCTGCAGCATGTGACGCAGCAACCGCAGCGCTTTCAGCGGTCTCTGGCCTCGGATTCCATGCCTTCTCTGCCCAGACAGGTAAGCTGATCTCATCTCTGGTTTTGTCCCTTGGTTTTGGAAATAACTGTTTCATGCTATTGAGAGCCGGCTTTGGAGGCAAATTCAGACTCTAGCTCTTTAGAGACTGGGCTTGACTCTGGAAAAGTCTATTTAAGTTGGCTTATTATGCACAGTCAAAGCACAGTATTAAAGAGGCAGGCCAAGGTTATGGTCTCATTTTCTGTGCAGGTCACTTAGCTTCCCTGGGAGAAAACTGCACCCAGAGGTGCTGCCAGGGGAAGGAACCAGGGCAGACAGGTCAGAATTGCACAGACCCACTTCCCCTGCACTGGGCCATGAGGCACTTTCCCTCACCCAGGACCAGTGAAGGCATCATAGGATGCAAGGAAATTGCTCTAAGCACTTAAATCTTGTCCCTGCTGGCATAAGGCTGCAAAACGGGCCTTCTAGAAGTGCCACAGCAAATACCTGCTGGGCAGTGTGCTGTTTGTTGACCCCTGCACCAGATGCTGAGGCAGGTCCTAAATGATAAGGTCGGAGATGTGTCAAGTAGTTATTCTTATGTCTCCATTTTACAGACGAAGAAACTGAGGCTCAGAGCATTGAAACAACTCGCCCAGAGTCACACAGTTAGCAAGGGGCCGAGCAGGAACTTGAAGGCAGGCAGTCTTGCCCCAGAGCCCGTGCTTTTCTCAATACTCCTGTGACTTCCCTTTCTTCTCCTGCAGTCTTTTCACTCACTTACTTCACCTACTTCTCACCAGGTGATATCTATCACCGTTTCCATTTTTCATGCTATGATCCTTGTCTGTGTTAGTTATCTATGGCCACATAACAAATTGGCCTGAAACAACCACTTTTAGGCAGCACACATGTACTATTTAATACTTCACAGTTTCTGTGGGCTGGGGATCCTGGCACGGCTTAGCAGGCCTTCTGGCCCCATGTCTCTCACAAGGCTGCGGTCATCTCAGGGCTCAACTGGAGAGGACTAGCTTCAAAACTCACTGCTGTGGTTGTTGGCAGGAAACAGTTCCTTACGGGTTGTTGGACTGAGGCCTCTGTTCTTCATGAGCTATTGGCCCAAGGCCTCCCTTGGTTCCTCGCCACATGGGCCTCTTCATAGAGCTTCTCCTAACATGATAGCCAGCTTCATCAGAGTGAGCAAGAGAGAATATGCCAGTAAGAGAGACTATGCCAGCTAGAGAGGTTAAGGGGAGGTTTCCAGTGAGTCAAAAGTCCCAGTCTGTATAACCTAGTCTGGAAAGTGACATTGTATCACGTGTGCAGCATTCTGTTCATTAGACTTGAGCATAAAATGGTGAATACTAGTGGGGGATCACAGGGTAGTGAGGGTACCAGGAAGCAGGGATTGATCAGTGGGAGCCACATCAGGTGTCTCCCTGCCCTGGCTCCTGTCTTCATGCTTCCTCTTTACCATTGCTGTCTTGATCTTTGTTCAAACTCATACAGTTTTCCCAGTAAACCATCTTAAACTGGCTGCCCCAATAAACCATCCATTTCTCTAAGCATAACCTTGCTATAAGACAGACCTGATCATGTTCACACTTGCTCAGAAAATTTTGGAGGCCCATCAACTGGCTCCATCTATCTCCTTAGACTGGTGTCCTTCAGATCTTTAAGTGCTTACAACTCCTGGCCCACTCTGTGTTCTTGGCCTTGACTCCCACCATTGCCTGTGTCTAGCCTTCCCTGCTCACCTTTCCTTTCCTGCCCCACTCTTACAGCTCCTAAGGCTCAGGCACCATTCCCCCTGCCAGAAAGCTTTCCGCAAGTTTTCCCCCAGGACTTTGGTCTCCCACCCCGCCTGTTTCTTCTGTAGAAAAGCTGAGGAGCTTGGGCAGCCTGAGGGATACTCCTGGGGGAAACTGACCTCTTTTCTGAGGGCTCTGGGTGACCATGGCCATGACAGTACCAGGAGGAGAGAGACCGTGTCTTTTCATCCAGGTCTCATGAAGCCTCACGAGCCACACGCTCCACACCAAGGATCAGTCTTTCGATGGGTGCACCCGTGGGGGTGGCCAGGATGAGCGGCCAGCCCTTGTCCACAGTTCAGGAGCACTTAGGTTTGATTTTGTTATAGGCATGTTGCCAACTGTTCTCGCGGACTTCCATGGCTGGCTCGATGGAGCGCCAGCTGAATCAGCACTGGAACCCTTATCCTATCAGGCAGGATCCTCAGCCTGGAGCTGTGACACCATCTAAGATTGTGAGCTTTTTTGGTTTCTTTTGTTTTCAGTGGGGAGTGTTTGTAGTCTGACTGTGTTGTCTCAGAGCCAGAGCAGCTGGCTCAGAGAGAGAATCCTTAATGTTCAGGGTTTTGAAAATCCACCCCCCACCCTGCCCACAGCTGATTCCCTAGGTGGGGCTGGGGAAAGGCTTGGGAGAAGGAGCACGTGGCTGAGCTTCCCGAGGCCAGGAGGGACACCCATGACCTCTGCCAAGCCCAAGGGGCTACAACCACTGCCAGGGGCTGCTTTATGGGCCCCTGCTTCCTGGGGCTGAGCGTGCCTACCCAGTTCTTCCTTCCTGTTTCTCCTCGTGGTCCTCAGAGGTAGAGGCTGTTAGCATTTCCTTTAAAGCTGAGAAAACTGAGGCACAGAGAAGTCCCCAGAGTTGCCCGCAGTCACACAGCCAGTCAGGGTGAGAGCAGGGAGTGGGGCTGCAGAGGCCACTCTCGTAACCCTGGCGGGGCCTGGCCTCTCCTGCCTGACCCTCCTCACTTCTGCCTTGTCCACCAAGCAGGTGTGATGATAGGTTGTTAGAGGAGTAAACGTATTCATTTAGTGCACCTCAAGTACTGCCAACAGATGCTTGCTGTCGCTATGACTGTCTCCTAGGCCTGAGTCTCCAGATCTGGTTCTCTTTGTGAGGCTATGTTCCTTCTCATGGCCTTTCCACATTGAATTAGAGTTCTAAGAATTCAGTGCTGGTCCCGTGAGCAGGAGAAGCTGGGAGAAAGGAAGAGGTGTGTTTAGCATGGTCACCTGCAGGACGGACAGGAAGTCCATGCTTCTTGCTCCCACCTTGGTGGACTTGGCCACGCTTTACTACCACCCAGGCCAACCCTCAGAAAACACTCCTGTCCTCCTCTTTGGCGTTGACTAGCTCATCACACCTCTGTGGGTGGTAGCAGGAAGACTGGGCATTCATTTTTATCCAGACCATAGTTGCCTTAAAGAGTAGTTTCTAAATGGAATGTGAGAAAGCAACTCTTGAGTCAGCAGAAATGCCAAATCCAGTTGTTGATAGGAGAGCATTCTTATTTGCAGACTAGTCTCGCTCAATTTGGGGGATTCCACTTTACCAGCTAAGTTAGTGATCCAATTTCAATGGACTGCTTGCTTGCACTGGGGGTAAAAGGTAAATGCCATCTGGTGTCAGGGCAGCAGATAAGCATGGCAGAGGCACTGGAGATAGTTGGACTGGGTTTCCAGTCCAGACACCATCACTGTGTGGACAGTGTGCCAGGAGCAATGTCACTTAAGCCCTCTGAGCCTCAGCTATACCTGGCCAAAGGGCTGGGCTTCATTTTGATGGCCTTGGAAGATAGGAGATGCTGAACCAAGCATGCTTGAGGTGCAGCCTGGCCCACACTCTGCGGCTCAGCAGGGCCAGTCCAGGCTCCCAGACTTGGGTCTCAGAGCCCCGGAATCAGATGCATTTCTAAAATCAGAACTTTAGGGACTTGAGAAAGGCAATATGCTGCATGTGCCAAATATCACACAGCCCTCTGGTGGGATCTGGGGCAGCAATTTATTATTTTTGCAAAGAAATAAGAATATTTAACCAAGCCCGGGTCAAGTTTTGCTCCCAAATAAATTTTGGCACCAAATTTACAAAAACAGAATAAGCTTTCAGAGCTTTTAGCCTTGAAATTACAGATAAGGGATGTGGACCTATGATTTCTAAGGGAAGGGACTTTGGAGTCAAGACACATAGCCTTGGTTTGTTTCAATGGCCCTAAATCTCCTCACTGCATTCCCCACCCTACTCCCAAGGCTGGATGATTTCTCTGTTTTTAACTGAAGTGGAGCAAAATGAAATTTGTTTCCATAATTGTATGCCCCTTCTCACTGAAAACTATTGAAGATGCTTTAGGGCACTGTGAAAATCGGGGTTAGGATTTCAGTTTTAGCATCAAGCCACTGGAGGATGGCACTAACATTTACTCAAAGACAAAACAGTTCTGTCCAGGAGATGGGAGTTATGCTCTGGAAGACTCAGAGTGGCAAAAGGCAGCAGGAGCACCCTGGGTGCACATGGGCTTGCAGAGTTGGATGGGTAGCATCTCAGGGAGGAGGGATGTAGATGGTGGCCAGTTAGAATAATAACAAAATGCCTGAAATCTGATCTTGAGGCAGGCTGAGGCAACCGAGGGGAAGGGGGCAGCTGCAGAGAAATAGACCACAGAAGCCCGTGATATGGTTTGTACAGATTTTGAGAGGGGACCTGAGCCTGCCTTGGCGAAGGCTAGACAAGCCCTTGCCTGGGTGTGTTATGCTTTCTGCCTTTAACTCCAAGCTGCACATCTCTGGTGCTCAGGCAGTGGTGAGCCCTCAGAAGTGGTAGAGGCCATGGGCTCATGAGAAGAACTGCCATCCGCCCTCCTAGAGGGGCTTGGCCTGGGTGAGGGCTCGCACCTCGGTCTGAAATGGGACCTAGAGGAAGCTCTCTTGCTACCCTCACTTGTGGGTTCCTCTTGTCCTTGGAATGAGACAGCTCAGAGCCAGGAACATCATGTCCTTGACCCTTGGGTCTTGGCAGGAGGTGAACCAGGGGCTGGGCTTAAGGCCCGAATGACTGGGATCCAAATCCTGGCTCTGCCACTTCTTTGTTTGGCCTGCTCTGTCCCCTTTCTGGGCCTCAGTCTCCCCATCTGTGAAATGGAGATGCTAGTATACCTATCGAATGGGGTTTCTGGGAGTGTTCAATGCAATGAGGTCAGCGTGCTCGGCATGGGCCTGGCACACGATCATGCTCTGCTGACGTTAGTT